GGGTGCTGGGAAGGAGCACAGTAAGGGATGCATTTGGGAATCAGACTCTGTGAGATGTGACATCTGTCAAGCTGAGTACCATGGAGCACAGACACTTCTTGGCTCAGCTCCACTACCCACCCAGCATCTGGTGTGTTTCTGGAAGGTGTTTCTTGAGCGAAGGAATGATGGACTGATTGACTTTGGGGACTGAGGGATAAGAATCTGACAGTGGAGGGTGGGGTTCTGAGAACAGGGCTTCCTGGAGAAGCAGCTGCAGAGGGAGCGGGCTAGACAGTAACATGAGCCACGTCTGTCTCACGCACCGAGTCTGGGTGCTGTTGTCAGCAGGATAATGGCCCCCAAAGGAGTCGACGTCCCAGTCCCTTGAAACTGTGAATATGTTACCTCATTTGGCAAAGCGAACTTTGCGGGCATGATTAAGTTAAGGATCTTGAGACGAGAGGTTTTCCTGGGGTCTTTATGATAGGCAGGCAGGCAGGAGGGTCAGTCAGAGGTGACATGATGACGGGAGCAGGGGTAATACGAGGAAAGGACCATGAGCCAAGGATTTCAGGCGGCCTCTAGAAGCAGGAAAAGGCAAGGAGTCTCTTCTCTCCCAGAGCCTCCAAAAGCAGCGTGGTCCTGCCAACACCTTGCTTTTAGGCCTATGGGGCTGTGTCAGACTTCTGATCTCCATCGTTGTCGAAAAGGAAATTTCGACAACTTTGTGTTACTTTGAGCTATGGATGTGGCAGCTGTAGTGAACTAATACAGGTGTCAGAGTCCGCTGTGGAGCTTGTGAGATGAAAGTCAGTAAGTCTGTCCTGTGTTTAACACCTTAGGGCTGAATTAAGTATCACACAGGATGACCGGAAGACACTTTCCAGAGGACTTGAGAATACTGCATTGGTGGCAGTGTGTCAGCAGGGACTCTTGGGTATAACTGCCACAAAGCCTTGCACAGGATGGCCCAAGGAAGGAGAATGTATTGAAAAAGTCCCAGGGTAGTCTGGCTTCGGGCATGTAGTGTCCACAGCACTGGTCCTGTCTGTGTACTACTGCTGGCCTCTGTTGGCGTCACTCACAGGTGGCCTGTCTCCATGTGGGACCTCCTGGCATGGAATTTTTTTTTTCTAGGTGAGGCAACCCTTGGTTGACTTCACAGATTGCAAAGACCTTGTCATCTTACAATACCCTATTTTTTTATTTTTATTTTTTTTTTATTTTTTTATGCCTACAGCACCTGGTCTTCCTAGATGGTCTCCCATCCAAGTACTAACCAGGCCCGACCCTGCTTAGCTTCCAAGATCAGACAGAATTGGGCTTGTTCAGAGAATTTCTCTTAAATGTTCCTACAAAAGCCTCTTTGGCTCTGATTAGCTCCATGTTCATCCCTGATCCAGTCTTGGTGGCTAGAAGGAAGTGACGACCTGGTGGGCCAGCCTGAGTCACGTGTGTGTGCCCCTTGATAGTGAGGATGGAGCCATCACTATAGAAACCCGAGGACCATTTGGGGACGTGTGAGGAAAGTTGAACGTCAAAGTGCGTGTCGAGGGGCCACGAGGCCGGGCCGGGCTGTTTGCTGAGGAGGAGGAGACTTGTGTTGGGAGAATGGGTCTGGCCCCAGGGGACAGGGAGGTCCCACCCTCCACGTGGTGAAGGGCGGGGGTGAAGGACCTGGAGGCCAGAAATGGAGTCTTTGCTCTGAGGTGTGAGGCCAGCTGCTGAGGCCAGCGTGGAGGTGAGGCAGATGCCTCAGGAAGGACTGGGTCTAGAACAGCCATTGGAGAGTGTGGGACCAGGGCTGTTAGCAGCCGGGTATTTGGGCACTGGCTGTGAGGAGTCGGGGTGAGGAGTCGGGGTGGGGAGCTGATCTGGTGAGGAGAGCGGGCACGGACACCCTCAGCAGTGCACAGGCTCCAAGGGTCCCAGAGAGACGCAGGCAGTCCTTGCGCCCATCACTTCTTCCTGATGCCTTGTGCTGACATCTCCCAGCATCAGCCACCCAGGAGCCCACCTGCTCCCTGGAGATCCCAGCGCAGCAGAAGGAAAAGGAGGAGGAGACCTCCAGGCCAGTGAAGGTGCTGCCTGAGGTGAGTGGGGCGTGTCACCCTTGGGCTTTTTCTGGTCACAGCATCCCCTGGGAGGTGAGCCTACCCCTGAGTCTTCCAGGGCCGGGCCTTTCGGAATTTCTGAGCATAAATGACAGGCCTGCCCTCCAGCCACCATGGCTTCATTGGAAGCCAAGAAAGGGCACCACGACCAGGGCTCAGGAAACCTGGAGGCAGGAGGGTGTTTACGGACCCTTGGGAAGTGGGGCAGCCTCAGCCAGGGGCGTGCAGACCTGTCTGGATCCCAGTTAGACCCTGAGAGCCCTCATCCTTCAGAAGTGAACATTTCGCTATTTATCATAAGAGCCTGGGATTTCTTTTAATACCACCCAGAGCCGGGCATAGACAAAACAGGACTGTCGAGGCTCACGGAGTGTGACCAGGCCACAGACCGTATGTGGCATTGGTCAGGGCTGCTGCTGCTGCAAGGGGCTCACAACTGGCTGGAACACAAGAGCGAACTTAGTGGCTCTCATGTAGCGAGCGGTGTGGCGCGGGCGTCAGGCAGAGCCGAACTGGGTTCCTGGGAGAGGGGCAGACTCCCCTGCGTGTCTCATGGCTCTGCCCCACGTGGGAAAATGACTTCCAAACCCAGGCAGAGGGCCATGGGGAGACCTCTTCCTCCTGGGATCCTGGTTAGCTCCTCCGAAAGGACTGATCATGGCCATCCAGGTGACTGCCCCACCCCCAGGTGGCTCCTGTCCCACCACCTGGGATGTGGTGTACCCAGGAGGGGTGTCTCCTGTGGGGAATTGTGGGGAAAGGGGAGCTGGATGCAGGTGTCGGTTGGGTAGAAGGTTTGCTTGTGGCACTTGCAGCTCTTAGTGAAGTAGGAACTCTGCCTCCAGCCTGGGCGCCAGACTCTGGTACTGTGAAAAAGGACTCTTTGGACCTCTGACGGCCCAAGTCAGTGTTTCCAGCAAACCCCCGAAGCAGGGGAATGGCCAGCGGGCTCTGTCAGAGAGTCCCAGCACGGCTTGCTTTTGTCTCCTTTGATGACTCTCTGAGCCTTCTGCTGAGCGGACACATGTGTGATGTTGCAGGAACCAGTGACCTTTCTGGATGTGGCCGTGGACTTCAGCACGGAAGAGTGGGGGCTGCTGGATACAACACAACGAACGGAGTACCACGACGTGATGCTGGAGACCTTCGGCCACCTGGTGTCCGTGGGTAAGGCCCCGCCCACGCAGGCCGTCCCATGATTTTGGAATGGGGTGCCACAGGGGACCCGAGTCCGGGCTTGTGCGTTCTCTGGACTCGGCACAATGCCTGAGCGAGCCCTCAGAGTCCCTTTATTGCCCAGAGGCTTTCGGTGGCACTGTGGACTTGGAGGGTGGTGGCTCTTCTGACGGAGGCAGCCTCGGGTCCTTGGAAGGACTGCTCTGCTGTCCCCGGGGCCTGCGAGGGGAAAGCGAGCCTCAGTCGTCCCTCCATACTGCCCGCCCCCCCCACCCCCCAGGCTGCCTGCCTGTCCTTGGGAAACCGCACATCCCCTGCTTTCAAATACTTAAGAAGGTCATGCTGTCGCACACTTCAGCGCTCCTCCCACAGAATGCACCTGTTTGGTTTTTCAGGGTGGGAGACGACTGTGGAAAGCAAACCAGTAACCCCGCCATCTGCCGCTCCTGAGGAAGGATCCACCCGGGACCCTAAAATGGAAGAACCCTCGGGGGCCCTGGCCAGGCCCTCCACCTCCGGGGAAGGCGTGCCAGGGGCGGGCCCAGGAGTACTAGGCAGGGCCCTGAAGCCGGCGGGGCCGACGCCCCGGAAAAGCCTCCCTGCGAAGCAGCGCACCGGGAGCCCCCCACCCCGCGCAGACAGCGGTCCCCACACGAGCCGCGTTTCCCAGCAGAAAACGCGCCCCAGGAAGCGCCTGCGCAGGCGGGGCTCGGGGCTCAGAAAGGGGCCGCGCGATGCACGTGTGCAGGTCCCTCGGCAGAGCCGCCGCGGGGACCGGCCGGCGGGTGGCCGTGGCTGTGGGCGAGGCCCCGGCCGCAGCAGCCAGCAGGTCACGTTCACGCGCATCCACAAGGGCAGCCAGGTGTGCCGGTGCAGCGCGTGCGGCAAGACGTTCCGCAACCCCCGGTACTTCTCCGTGCACAAGAAAATCCACACGGGGGAGAAGCCCTATGTGTGCCAGGACTGCGGGAAGGCGTTCATCCAGAGCTCCTCCCTCACGCAGCACCAGAGAATCCACACGGGCGAGAGGCCCTTCCAGTGTCGCGAGTGCGGCCGGACTTTCAATGACCGCTCGGCCATCTCCCAGCACCTGAGGACGCACACCGGCGCCAAGCCCTACCAGTGCCAGGTGTGCAGGAAGGCCTTCCGCCAGAGCTCGCACCTCGTGCGGCACCAGAGGACGCACACCGGGGAGCGGCCCTACGCGTGCGGCAAGTGCGGCAAGGCCTTCACCCAGAGCTCGCACCTCATAGGCCACCAGAAGACGCACAGCGCGGCCAAGCGCCGGAAGAGACCCCCGCCGCACAGCCCGCAAGGCCGCTGAAAGAGACCCCGCCTCGGCGCGGTGGGGAATCGGGACTGAACAGGGAGCGCCGGGTGACGATGTCCTCGGGACCAAAGGACCGCCAGGGACACTCTCCTGCACACGGAAGAAGAATGCTGGGGGTTGTTGCTAATGAATGTAACGTTGGAAGAACATTTACTTTTTCACTCAGTTGATTTCCTATTACCATTTGTTCATTTGGTCATTAAAAGTGGGATTAGTGAAACCCAGGAAAATGCTTATAGTTACGTTTAAAAAGCCACGTGCCAAAAAGTATGTGCACTGATATTTGTAGTATTTATGTATATGGACAAGGACTAGAAAACAAGATGGATAAATAAACTATATATTTCTGTGATAGAACCTGAGTATTTTCCTACCCAACAGGTATGTTTTCTTAAATGTTTTGATATCTAAAATCAGCAACGTCAAAGGGGTGGAGATAGACTAGTTCTAGCAGATTCTGTCCAAGGCCACAGCCCCTCCGGCCCAAGATTCCAAGTGAGTCAGGATGAGCGCGTCCTTCTATTCCTTATGGTGTCATCAGGATACATCTGGGGACAGGGGGCAGGAACCTTGAGGCACCACTGGAGGCCTAGAGGGCCGGAAACCCCAGCAAGCCTGGGAGCTGGGGCATGTCCATTTGCTTCCTATTTCCACTTCCGCTCAGGGACTCCTTCGAGGGAGGGCCCGACCATGGCTGGATGCCCATCACCAAGTTAAGCAACAAAACACTGGCAGTACTAGAGCACGTATTTGATGCTGTTTCACATGGGATGACAGGTGAGTTCTTTGTCCTGCTCACACAGCCTGTAGCCCGCAACCCATTCCAGCCCTCGCTTCCCGACTCCTTTTGTTCTCGAGTTCTGCCTAACATGTCCTCTGGATCAGAAGTCCTTATATTCAGCACATGTTGGTTGAGTGCTGCTCTGCGCGGCCTCTTAAGGCACAGGGCTCGTGGCTGCTGTGTCACATGTCATCATTTCCACAACCTGAGAATGGCAGTCATGACTCCTTCGAGCTCTGACTTCGAGCTCTGAGAACATCTGGGGTTGCCACTGCCCTGCAACTACACGAGACAGAGGCCTTCCTCAGGGACAGGGAGCAGCTCTCCACGGAGGACGTCAGCAGCTCCTCCGAGTCCTGACGATGTAGAGATGTCCATTTTCTTGGGGTGTGGCTTCACTGTGGTGCCTCGTACTGGCTGCCAAAGTTCACAGCCATGTCCTCAAACAAGGTCACTTCGTCCCAAAATGTCACACACTGATTTGCTGCCAGGTGGTCACTGGAGGAGGTGAGCTGCTTTCCTGTTTGTGGCAGTATCAAACATGACCACAAATTCTTGGCCAGTCTTCCCTTCCTAGAACTTGGATGGCTTGTGACTGTTTCGACCAATAGCATCATGCCATGTGACTTCCATGACATGAGGTCATAGTGATGTGGCTCTATCTTGCTCGCTGGAACACTCGCTCTGGAATGCCACGTTCATGCCCTAATTTCCTCACCCTGACTTAGCCTCTCACAGCTCTCATCGCCCTGACATTACTGATGAACTGCAGTTCGCTGTAGCCCTGGCAGGAACATGAGCCCCGTGCGTGCGGGGACTAGGCTTGGCTCTTTCCTACTCTTCCCACAAGAAGTGTTTGCTGCATGAGTCCGTTACCAAACTGATCTCCCCGCCACAAGCATCTCACGACCATCCCTAAGCCCCGGTATTCCATGATGTCCCCACCACAAAGGGTCAATGACAGGATCATCCCCTGGTTTTAACTCTAGAATCACCCCAGGAACAGTGTAGATGAACAACTAAGTCATCTGTACATCTCCAAATATCACCAACCCTCAAAGCAAGAAAGTTTCCCGTTTCGGTTTTCCATCAGAGATTCCTGTGATATAAAGGAGAAAATCTTGGTTTGGTGCTAGCTCGTTTTTAAACCTCTCTCACATTTTGCTAATAAACTTTTTAGCAAAAAAGAACAGGCTTTCAGAGGCCACAACGTCTGGCTAAAATCCAAGCAGTATTGTTTTGTTTCAACCACGTTTATTTAACACATTTATTTTGACAAGCGAATAACTAAAAGACCCCTTTAAACATAGTATCAAGTTGTAGCAAATGAGTGAATTTAAAGATTATTAACCAAATAAGACTAAGGGTACTGAACATGGCAAAGTCACAATGATGGGAGCAGATGACCAGTCTGGGAAAACTTCGCTCGCAGTCCCTATATGGCTCCTTTGCTGTTCCCCTGCCAGGCATGCTCGTGGGTGCATGGTCCCTGATGAGTTCCAACAGTTCCTGCTTGGGGCCCTAAGTCTAGCCCCTCTAATGCTCCCCGCCAAGTCCAATGGCTGAATTAAACAAAACTCCAGCAAACACCCCTGGCCTGTGCCAGGCCAGGAAGGTGAGTGAGTGACGCTGGGTGGGGCAGTGGCCACCTAGGACCTCCAGCACAACGTGAGTCTTGGGGTCCCTTTCTCCACAGTGGGGAGCCCTTCAACAGAGAAGGTTGACTGAGGCCACTCACCTACGGCTGGATGGACAGGTGGGCCTGCACTCCCAGGCTGTGGGACTGAACTGGGGATGGGGTCAGAAAGCTGGGGAAACCTGTCCCAGGACCCGCAAACCCACAATGTGCTCTGATCCTCTAGTTCAGCCCAGATGCCCCCCATCCAGGATCCCCAGATTAGCTCAAGGACCACTCCCCCTAGTCTTGCCAGCATCCCCCAGGATCAGCTTAATACCCGCCTCCTCACCACCTGAGGTTCCCCAGCTCAACCTGAGACCTCCCCTGAAGAAGTGGTAACCAGGCCAAGACTCCCTCCCCTGCTCAGGAGCCCTGGAGACCACATCTCCCTGCTCCCAGGCACTCCTCAACCTTTCCCGGGGTGTGGGGGGGACATCAGGAGCTGTCCCACCACATCAGGTTGGGTGCCCCCAGGTCCAAGCCCTTTGCCCCGGCTGCACCGCACTCTCCGGCAGATTCCCTTTCCTAAGAGGACACGCTAGTGTCTTCTGTCCATTTTTTAGAGAGGGAAACTTCCCCAGAAGCCCCCAACACACCTGATATTTCCCCTTGCTCAGAAGACCCTTGCCTAATTCAACCAAACAGGAAAAGGCATGAGACCATCAGGACGCCCCGCTTGGAAGTTAGAGTCCAGACTTCCGGGAGGAATCTACAAATGGCAGGGTCATGTTAGCAGGTAACAAGTAGTAAGGAGGTGACGGCTGTTGGGCAAACCACCAAAGAGATCAGCCCCAGGAGGGAGGGTCAAGGCAAAGAATGCTGGTTACAGGAGCACCCCAGACACAGAAGCACAATCCCGGAGCTTAGGACGCCTGAGCTTCGAGCCTAGCGGCAGCGGTCCCCACCCAAAGGCCACCCTGGGCAGGCTTCCTGCGGTCTCTCAGCTGGTAGAGTCAGGGCGGGTCGGCAGGTGTGATGCGTCTCAGGCTCCGAGACCCACGGCGCAGTGACACTGACCACATGCGACATGCCTCTGACCCACGTCAGTCAGGACGTGGTCACTAACTACTTAGGAGCACCTGGAGGAAGCCAAAGCGCTCCCCTGAGCGCCCCATAGGCCGACCCAGGTCGGGTCCGCCGGCCTCCCGACTTCCACCCTCGCGCCGCTGCGGCCTCTCCCGTTTGCGGCTGTCCCCGTGTCCTACCTTTCTCCCCTACCAGGGGGTCTTCGTTCACTCGCACGGCAGGTCCAGGAGCCGGCAAGGATGAGCCCCAGCACAGTTCAGACGCAAACCCTGCCCTCCACGTGGGTCGCAACGTCCGTGGCTGCGGCGTCGGCCTCGGTCGCGGGATGAGGAGACGCGGGGCCGCCCGCGGACCCGGATCCGAGGGGAGAGGCGCAGTCAGGCGCTGGGCCGGAGGGACGCGACCGTCTAGACTACGGCAGGAGCCGCTGTAGAAGGGAGGAAGCTGTGATTTGGACAGCGCCAGCCTCCACGAGTGCGCCAGGAAAACGGCCGCAGCTACGCGACAGACGGCCGAAGTCGCGCGAGACCACGCTTCTCGCGCGCGGCCCTCTGGGACTTGTAGTTCAGACCAGAAAGAACCCGTACGGGTGTTATCTGTGTGGAAAAGCTTTCAGGTATTGTTCTGAGCTTGTACACCAGAGAACACATTCTGGAGGGAAGCCATAGAAATCCAATCAGTGTGGTAAAGCCATCACTGGAAGCCTTCACTTTCACCTCAGAGAATTCACACTGGCGAGAAACCCTTTGAATGTAACAATTGTGGGAAATCGTTTTGACAGCAATCACAGCTTATTGGGCATCAGAGAACCCATGCTGGACAGAAACCTTATGAGAGCAGTCGCTGTGGAAAAGCTTTTAGACAGAGGTCTCTCGTTCTCCCCAGAGAACAAACTGGAGAAAAGCCCTGTGACTATATTGACTGTGGGAAAGTTTTCAGTCATCAGTCAGCTCTTAGAAAGCATGAGAGAATACACGTTGGCGAGAAATCCTGTGAAAGAATTCATTGTAAAAAGACCTTTGTCCAGCAGAGTCAGCTTACTAGGCATCGGGTAATTCACACTGGAGAGAAATGTGAGTGATCTCATCGTGGAAAATTCTTCAGCCCTAGTTCTCACTTTCTTGCACATAACGGGATTCATACTTCAGAGAAACCCTGTAAGTGTAACAACTGTGGGAAATCATTGTGGTCACAGTCACAGCTTGTGCCTCCGTGAACCATACTGGAGAGAAACCCTATCACTGTGGCACGTGTGTTAAGTCCTTTCGTCAGAAGTCACACCTTATTGCACATCAGAGAACACATACTGGAGAAAAGCCCTACGAATGTATTGAGTGCGGGAAGGCCTTCATTAGCTGGTCATCTCTTAGAAGACCGACGAGAACACACACTGGAGAGAAACCCTAACGGTGAGACGTGTGTTAAAGCCTTCCGTCAGAAGTCACACCTTATTGCACATTAGAGAACCCATACTGGAGAAAAACCCTGTGAATGTGTTCACTGTGAAAAGTCTTCAGTGACTGGTCAGCTCTCATAAAACACAAGAGAACACACATTTCATGTTGGAGAAAAGCCCTCTTAATGTAACTGAGCATAACAAAGCTTTCAGTAATCGGTCATCTCTTAGAAAACACTGGAAAAAAACACTGGAGAGAAACCCTATGAATGTAATGAATGTGGGGCAACCTTTAATAATCAGTCATATGTTAGGAAAGGAGATAACACACTGAAGAGAAGCCCTATCGCTGTGACTTGTGCAAAAGCCTTCTATCAGATGTCACACCTTGTAGCACATCAGAGAACACCTACTGGAGAAGAACCTTGTGAATGTACTGAGAATGTGAAAGCCTTCAGTGATTGGTCAGCTCTTAT